CTGGCTAGCCAGGTAAGTTTCAGTTTAGTTTGCACCAATCCTGGGTTTTAGGTACCATGAAAGTGGCTTGGCTTTTAGCGGCATTCATTGCCTTAGTAACTTACGCTCCACAGCTAACCTGCTCTGGGGCAGGTTATGTTCTGGTTTAGAGATCTCAAACCCAAATTTGACCAATCAGCTTCAAGCAAAGTGACGCATCTCTGACGCAATAAAGCCACTCCCCCAGTTTCTCTTACTCCAAATTAAAGGACGCTACATAGTAAAACATTTGTAAAGATAAAATTGTATGATTTTTAGAGATGATTATTTTTTATAATTATTTTATATTATTTATATAATTATTATACCCTTAATCCATTACACAAACTAGCTTAGATTATTTTAAATTAATATTTATATTGCATATTATCTATATATTTATAGGTTTTAGAATCAATAGCTTTAAACATGACTACATATGAGCTTAGATTAGAAGTGTTTTTATACCTATAAATGCAAGTAAAAGTTAGTTTATAGAGTTGATCATATTTATATGTTTTCTTTAAGTTTTCCTCTTTCATGGATAGATCGTTTCATCTCGTAAATGTGTTTAAATTCTTCATATTGTTCAATCTTTTAATCTTTGGTAGTGAATCGCACTGACTCTCTCGCGAGAAGTGAATCTCAGTTTCAAGGCATCTGATTGGCTGTTCATTACTGATGTCACTCTTTCATGTGCACGTGCTCCATTAACTCAGGATCAAGCCTGAATTGACAGAGAAAGTTGATGATCAGCTTCATGGTACCAACAAAGCCGGATTGGACTGCTTTGGCTTTGTCAACTCTAAACTAATCCTGTAATCCCGAGTTTGTTCAGCCACCATCATGGTACAGGCCCCTGTTCAAAGCTGCTAGTTGGTTGGTTAGGCCGATTTGAAGGGCTCGATGAGGAAAAGGGGGCCTGGGGGTACGCGATTTCTACTGGGGGACCTGAGTCATTATGGCACCCCTGGTTATTTATATAACACATTTAAAATCAACAGTCAATAATATTAGGTTATAAATAGTATATGTAAGTCTATGCTGAAAGCACACCTCTATTCTGTGGCATACAATTGCCCCTAGGTGTTGGGACAATGATGTATATTGTGTTGTGTGTCCATTTGAGTAATTTTTAGACATTGTTTTGTTGTTTTTAAATGGGGACATTGGTTGGTTGGACAAAATTTGTCTTGATTTTTTCCCGAACTCTAGAGTAAAATCCTGTGAAACTTGACGCAGACAAGAGTAATATTCATCCTGAAGAAGAATTTATGTAACATTTTGTGTTAACTCTGAAGGAATTCTAATAATGCTAGTAGAAAAAGCAGAAAATGATCAGTGTTAAAAATATATATATATTTTTAGGCAAGGCAAGTTTATTTATATAGCACATTTAGTACACAATGGTAATTCAAAGTGCTTTACATAAAAGGAAGTAAAATAATTATAAATAAAAAAAATCAACAATATAACAAGGAATTTAAAAACTTTTAAAATGATTTAAAAATTGATTTATGATTAATTAAAACAGTTAAGAATAAAAAATGATTATACATAAAATACAATGCAGTCAGTTGGGACGTAGCACAGTGCTCATTCACTAAATGCACAGCTAAGAGTTTTTAGTCTGGATTTAAATGTGACTAATGTTTTAGCACATCTGGGGCCTCATTTATAAAATGTTGCGTATAAACCGTTCCTAAATTTGTTCTAAGATAATTTCTCAAAAGTGCATAAGTACGATTCAGAGAAAATGAACGTGCGCACAAAAACTCGTGCGTACGCCTCTCTTCCAGATGTGACATTTATAAATCGCAAATGATCTTGAAATTGTGCGTAGCTGACTGGTGTCAGATCTCCGCCTTGTAAACGCCCCCTAATTAATAGCATTACCATATAAAAGATCACACGCCAATATCCGAATTTCTATTCTTGAGAATGACGAGCACAAAGAAAAAATAAAAAAACTTTACTGAGTCTGAAATTGAGGTCCTGCAGGCGGAGCTAGAGGTTCATGCGGGGACACTTTTTATTTAATAATGTGTTATTATTCTGCGGACAAACAATGTGTGTGTGGTTATATTTTTTTTTCTATTGACTATTATCAAAATTACTACTTCTAGAAACGATGTCTTTATTAATTTTTACAGAAGCAAAGCAGCAGATGTTATAAATAAAAACAGTTATGTTATTGAATAGAATATATTAAAACCGTTATTGCATGACATGGGCCTATTATTACACAGACAAAACAGTCAGAAATGCGTTTATGCTTTTTTTTCTATTTTACGCATTAGTAGTAAACCAGTTTTCCAGAAAGTCGTCCTTGGGTGCTGAGTCTTGGAGCTGTTCTGATACGTCACAGTCTGTCTGTGATGAGCTCTGTGGGCAGGGCTCAGCCGGGATGTTGTCCATGAGCAGTGCTTGTTGTGGCTGCGTGGTGTTATCAGTGTCCTTGTGGGATGTGTCAACCACATGATGACTCTGAAGCTGATATGAAGTCCTGTCGTCACTCAAACTTTGTCCAGGTGTGTGTGTGCCATTCAGGTTGAGTGGATTGACACACACTACTGAAGGATGACGGATGGAGAAGTAGATGTTGTCCTTTAGCACTCTTGCACCAAGTTTGTTTAGGTTTCAGCCCAAGCAACCATGAAAACATGTTAGTTCCCCTTGCTGGGAGTGGCCCACTGATGAACGACTGAACTTCAAGTCTTCGAAGCGTTTCAAAGAGTTCACTGAAGTCCTTCTTAAGGAGTTCTGACTGCTCTTTCCGAATATCATTCTTCCCCACATGGAGGATGATTCTATTCGCAGTCTTGTGCTTCATCAGAATGTTCCGGAGTTCCTTGTTCACATCAGAGACGGTTGCTTGTGGAAAGCATCATGTTGTTGTAGTCCTACTACTGATGTTTCTGATAATAGTCACCCACTACCAGAGTCCTGGGCTCGGCTGCGCTCTAAACTGAATGCCGCTGTCTGCTCGACCTTGAGCGCCTGTTAGTAGCAATGTTAGCTTGCTGGCTGATACGATCCATGTTCAGTTACATTTGGAGATTCCTCACCCACATTCATTAATGCTTCAAATCTGTTCTCAAGGTGTATAGGGGGTGGTAGAATACCAGTGTTTGCAAGCCTTCTCACAGCCATATCTGGTCGACACATTAATCGATGGCAGAGTAATTAGAGCAATTGAATTAAGTTTAAACTTGGGTTTCTGTTTTTATTCAAAGTCCGTCTCTTAAAAAAAGTCAATTCTGAGAATTGTTTCTAAACACATTATAAATGTTAGAAATACATTGCGGAAACATGTTACAAAGACTGTGAACTATGTAGTACTTAATTGTGGAGTAAAACAGTTAAACAGGTTTTCACCATTTTCGTGTTCAGGATTTTTTTTGGGCGGGGCTAAAATCATGACTCGATGAGTCACTGAGCATGACCCCTCCCCTAACACTATAAGAATGTGTTCGACTTGAAGCAGCACTGTGCAGATTGATCGGTGTGTGACATCAAAGTACAGAGCTATAGAGAGCAGACGCATGCGATCTCCTCAAGCTTTCGAATCGCTCTCGTGTCATACACTGATCGTTCTGCACAGCCCTGCTTCAAGTCGAACACACCTAATAACTACAGTCCAGTGGTTTGCCCGCTCAATCGCGAGTTACTGCCGTTCGTTACTACAGCCTAGAGGTTGCTAGCTAGCTATGCCTTCGTTACGTAAATGCATAATACCTGGTTGCAGTAATTTACAAAACAGCTCGGTCTCCTCATTTAAATAAGCTGCAGAGGAAGACAGTTGAGAGAGACGGCAGTGTTTCCGTGAGTGGGTGTGGTTTCAGCGCCGCCAGCGGACACGCCCCCAGCGTTTGAGAGCAGAGAATACTGCTTATTTTTTCCAGATTTTGATAGCTTACTTTATTCACTCGGCGGGTTTTTTTAGCATTCAAATTTGGCTGGGTGGTTAATAACACACTTTTCTGTGGTGTGATAAACTCAGAACACACATTTAATATCGACCTTACACAGACTTTAAAAAGGAACCTGTTGCAGTTGTTCAAATGTTATCCAAACTATCAATTGCTTCCTGTTCTGAGAATTTTCTCCATTCATCTGGTATTGTACCCTTCTCCCCCTCAAATGTTTTTTTGTAGTATTCTTCAATATCTTTCTGGAATCTGCACACAAACCACTTCCAGTAGGGCAGTTCAGAGAGATCAGAGGTGATGCTCCAGTTAGCAAATCTTTCTCCTGCTGTTCTGTATTCTCTCCAGGGGTGTACATAATCAGATTTATTGGGATGAAAACATCGATCACTTGCTACAGCTGATGTGCAGATGGTTATAGTCAGGTATGTTGAATCATTTTGATACCTCCCAGTTATTCCACTAACACGATGAAAAGAAACCCTGTGATCTCCATCATGGTTTTCTATGGTGTTGGTGCAGATGGCTTTACAGAAGGGACACTTAACCCAACAGCACTGACAGAAGTGATCGATCAGAAGCTTATCTGGTCTAAACTTACAGTCCAGCTTTTCTGCAAATGTCTTTGTGTTGAATCTACGGCTGATGTCAGACATTATAGAAGTAAGTTCTTTTCTTATCACATCTCCTAGCAGTTTGAAATCATCAACATCGTCATGTTTGACTCCACTGAGGTCTTTTTCAGAGAAGATCAGCTCATCTGAGAGCTGCTGTGTGAATCTCTTCAACCACAAACCAGCATCTCCTCTGTTCTCTTGAACATGTTCAGTAGATTCATGTGCTGCTCTCATGATCTTCTGCTGCAGGAGTTCAATGTTCTCCTTCATCTTGGGTAAAACACTGTCACTGAACTTATCAGTGTTGTACCGACTGACTTCATCTCTGATGAAACTCTTGAAGTGCTCTCTGGGATTATGAATGTAGCTTATGTATTTGTCAAAATCCTTCTCTTCTGCCAGTGTCTTCAAGATGTGTTTGTCCAGATTTGACCTGTTTCCATTCAGTGATTCACAGTTTGATCTCATTTCATCCGTCAGATCTCTGGCAGTCTTCTTGTAGACGCTCTGTTCAATGGGCTCTTTCAGTTTCTGACAGATGATCTCACCAAATATAACAGCTGATGTGGATCCATGACAGCATTTCTGGAAAATACTATAGTACTCTTTTATCTTCTTCTCAACATATATTACAGGATCATTGGCTTCCTTAAAAAGTCTGTGTTGGTCATTGATCTTCCTGTTTGCTCTCATACAGATGGAAAGAACCAAATCCCTAAAGAATTCATTCTTGAATACATATTTCACTTGTCCTTCCTCATGTTCTGTTACCTTTGTCTTGAGGTAATCTATGATTTGTTGAATGTAGCTTTTGTTGTAGCCCATCTTTGAAATGTTAAATGACAGAATCTGTTTGTCTGTCTGCTGATCAACATCTGTGACTAAAGATCTAATTTGAGCTTCATCCTCTTTTGATAGAGCATAACGAAATGTCTCTTTAACAGCTCTCAAGGCTTTTTTAATATGTCCTGTATTTTCACTGGATTTCTTTAACAGTACATAATCTGTATAACTCGTCACAGTGAAAATATCCCTGCTCTTCCTCCAGTGATCAGCAGGAACACTTCTATAGATGTCACTGAGGATCTCTCTCACATCTCTCATTATGTCAATGTCTCTGATTGGAGGAGTGTCTCTGATGATCTTCTTCACACTCTGTTCCCAAAACAAATCAAACTCTTTCTTCAGTGTTTCTTCATCTTTTGCTTTGTCTTTTAGTTTTAAGGCAAGTTCTTTGCTCTTTTCAAAGAGCGTATTTTCATGATGTGTCCTCTGAGCATCAATCGTTTTCTTAAGGTCTCGCTGCTGGAGAATCTCGTTCAATTTTCTCTTTGTTTCTCTCACAATGTTTTCCTGAATCTCTTTGATTTTGATTTCAAATGATGTTTTCCACTGAATCAGTATATTTGCATCTCTGTCTTTTTCAAAGAATTCAGACATTGATTTTTTCACTTCTTCACTTGTCTCCTTTAGTTCTTTTTGAATATCAGTTTCCTCGACCTCATGAATTGCTTCATTTTCTATTTTGTTGTGTAGTTTGTTCTCAGTTTCCATCATGGCACTGCGAAGACTCCAGGACCACTTGATGTATTCGGTCTCCAGTTTCCTGTAGGCTGAAATCTCCAGAGAATTTCTGAAGCTGAAGACGAATCGCTCATTCAGTAAAGCCTCCCAGAGATCTTTAATACGATCTTTTAAGTCTTTCAGTCTCATTCCACGTGATCTTGAAGCATGGGATACAATAGTTTCCTTCAGTTCTTGAATGTTCTCACAGTAGTTTGGGTTTGGTGGTGCCATGGGTGGGCTGCCCTCCCAGAGCTGAGCAAAATACTTCACATCTTTCTGAACATCAAATCTAATCACATCACTGAAACATTCTGCAGCACATTCTTCCTCTTTAGCAGCGAGTTTTGTCATCTCATCCAGTGTCTCCTGCAGTCGTCTCCTT